ATAATAATAATAATAATAATAATAATAATAATAATAATAACAACAACAACAACAAAGAATGCAATAATTGAAATTTAAATTTAAAATATCCTTTACAAAATTATCATCTAAAAAAAAAGAATTGATTTTAATGATGATGATGATGATGATGATGATATAGTTGCTATATTATTTATGATTAATAACAACCTGTTATAGAGGAAAATAATCCTCATGCAATAATATGATGAAAATAACTGTTACATTCAAAAATTCAATATAATTGTTAAAAAAAACTAAAATGCTTAAGGCAATACAAGTTTATATTAATTACAAATTTTCAACTTCATATAATTTTTTTCTTTGAAAAAATTTTTTAGAATAGTATAATCATATTCAGTCCCTTTTTATAGTATTTTAGAAGTGAAAGAATTATAATTTGAAAAAAGAACGAAACGATCGATAATTTATATTAAATAACATTATTGATATATAGATCTCAAATAGATCAATAGGCAGGTAATACTAATACTTCAACAATGTTTCCATCATTTTTTTGAATTATTATAATTTAAAAATTTCATGTTTAGCAATAGCTTGCTTATTTGACGAATTCTTACGTTAACTTGCAAAGTATTGGTAAAGATCCTCAACTTTCCCACTAATACACTTTCTGGAATTTCACAGAACTTTGCATACTTCTTCCAATCATACCTCATCGTTTATTTACGATTCGCATTTTTATACATCATTTAAATACTCTACAGAAGCATTAGCTTCAAAAGTACGACTCCATTTGTACTTTCCAAACCGTATAATACTTATCAGTATTGATGTTAAGATAACACTTACCACAAACAAATAAAAGTTTAATCGTTGTTGTGATAGTTATTGCTGTGCACTTGTAAACATTTTATAAGAAAACATTTTATAATTGCATTTTAAAGAAAAGAAACGATAAAAAAAGAACCATTTTGTATGAACAAAAATTTGTTTGTTTTTAGAGACAACACACAATACAACAAGTATAAAATATTATATTAATTAAATAAAAAAACACTTAAGTATCAAAAAAACAAATGATGAAGCAAGACAGAAATATTTTCATTCAATCTAAAAATGAAAAAAATAACGGTAAACATAGTAAAATTTGTCAGAGCCAAAAGAATTAATGAAACATAATAATTATAATAATTAAAATATTTGATAAACTGATAACCTCCTCTCTTTCTTTTCATAAATAAAAATATAACTGATAAATCTGTCTTCATTTATTCCGCGGTATATGCTAAAAATCTCGAGATATTTCCGAGAAAATTCTTTGGTAAATTATATCAGTTAACTTTATATATTAAGAAAAATTTTGCCAAAATAACAATCAAATATGCATGAAAGATTACTGTCAATTTTCGTAATAATCCTTTCTCGCCTTTTTTGCAATTACGCTAAATAATAACGTGCATACACGCACTTATGCAGTAGCATTAACCGATATCACAGTATAACCCAAAATTAAAAAACTACGAAATGAAAAATGGAAAAGAGGAAAAGAAACAAGAAGCAAAACAGCTTGTCATTTTTTTTGTAGGGTAAAGGATGGGAAAAAAGAATGAATTTTATTGGATAGAAAAAGAAACAAAGAAAAAGTGCTATTTATAGTGCTGATGAAACATTGTAGTAGTAGTAATTGTCGAATATTTTAAAAAATAGAAATTGAAATTTGTACAAAAACCAGGCATTCCAATAATGAACAAAAATTGTAACGGAAGAAATTTGAAAATAATTCAAAAATTTACAATTCAAAGACACGAAAATAATTAATCATGCACGTTTTATCAATCAAATAATTCATCAGCTAATCAGTAAAACAGTTTAATAGAGCAAATTGACAATATAAAAATGGTGGAAAAAAAAAAAAACAAACAGTTATATAATCATATAAAATCACGCTTTCGTCCATTCGCTTATTTCCTACATTTTTGTCTAATGTATTTTTACTACATGTTGAAAACTCACAAACAATTATAATCGCTACTAATATTTCCTATCCTTTTAATTATTACTAAAGAGAAAAAATGATGATTGTCAATCATGCATCCCATTATGGTTCAAATATTCCTATTTTGTTACTAATTGAAAACTATGGCCCTATTCATTTTCAGATAGAAAACTACGAGTAAAATTCAGTATAGATATCACATAAAAACACTCTAGAATTGAGGTGCTAAAAATTATTTGATGAAAGCATCATATCGTATGATTGGAATAATCTAATGAACTTACCTTAATCTATCCATTTAGCATCGTATAATATCAACAATATGACTTTTTTCACTTCTTATTATCTTTTGCAATATATTTTGTGGTATCCTCTCATCTTAGCAATTTTAAATCCTAAAATCAAAATTTTGGAATGATGCTTCCATCATCAAATCGGCTTCTCGTTTCTTCGAAGAAAAATGAAATGCTCTAACAAATTCAAATGAAAAAGTACATATATGCGCACGCATACGTGCATACGTACAAACGTACACACATACACGGCCACACATATTAAAACGGAGGCAGCCACAAAATATGAAAAACATATGAAATTATTATAAAAAAATAAGATTATAGTAAAATGTAAAAAAAAAGCTAAGAAAATTATACATATATATATATACATACTGACAACAATATTAAAACATCCTTTCATTTGATGTACGAATATAGACGTGATGTACGCCAACGCTCTATTATATACATATATAAGCACATACTGAACATTAACTTCATTTCTTTTTTCCCATATACTTTGACTCTGAATAAAAAAAGAAAAAAGTGGTAGCATTTCCTCAAACTGCTAGCGTTCCTTTAAGCTAAATCAGTAGCAGCAAACAGTAGTAATAACGGTAATATTGATTGTAGCTGTAATAACACTTTACTGATAAAAATGATATCTTCATGGATAGTAACGCACTGACAATAATAACAAAATTTCTTCTTCTTCAGGCACCAAATAGCAATAAAAGACAAGTATAATTTGTTCAAAATTAAGCGCTAATTTTTTTTTTCGTATTACCCGTAGATTTGCCACCTATTATCATTTTATTATCAGCGTCATATTATATTTACTAGCAAGTTTAAGCAAATATCCCAAAACTGGTACTACTTTCTTAAAATGGACCTCTACGAATTTCTTTTGTAGATCTTTCCTACATTCCGCTACAACTATACAAAAAAATTAGAATCCTAGACAAAAAAAACTATAAAAAATCAACGGTTGGGTAGGACATATTGACATAATAATTTATTTTCAAATATGCTCAATTTCAAAATTTCACTGCAAAATTTGTCAGATCAAACTGTTAAAATAGAATAGAAAATAAAAGTAAACAAAAATAAAGAATAATTGTAGTAACAGCAGATATAACCTCAGATCAATAGATTGACATACCTTTCACTGCGTGAAACATGTAAGAATGCAGTCTACACGGACATAATAAATTATATATAGCAGTAAGACAAATAAAACAACCAACAATTATAAGAGCTAAACAACAAAATGAGCCGTCATCGAAAAAGGATCACCCGCTTTGGCAGCACTATGTTCAAAGAAACAAAGAAAACAAACAAAGTAGCAAACAAGGGAGCAACCGGACAGATAAACACGTACATAAACACACCGTTAACAACTGCGCATGCTGAACTTAACAGACTCAGCAATTTACTTCCTCGAAATATTGGAAATTTGAAAATTTCAAACTATACAGAGAATATAAAAACAACTCTTACCTTCCCTTTTCCTGTTACTTCCCGAATCAAAGAGGGATTTCGGAAATGTTTTGAGTTTGAGCACAATATTTGTTCTTCTAACCAACAAAATAACAAGAAAGAATAACGATTGTCGCATTGTGTTATCTGTATGGTTGCTGATCTTGATTAACTGCCCCTTGCTGCATTTGTTGTACACCAGGTTGCGCCGCACCAGGTTGCATCATTGATGATTGAGTAACATTGCTCACAGATGGTGAACGTCCAATAGGTGGTGAACGAACCTGAAATATCATCTCTAACTTATATGTATGTAAACTTGAACAATTACGTGAAACTATATATATGTACATAAAATTTGAAAATATCATAAAAATCCCGCGGAATCCAGCCACATACCAAAACAAACTAAAAAACAACAAGCCCATTCCTCCTTCTAATCCAACAAAAGAGAAGGTATTGTAATCCATTACTCCATTTATTATTTCCTCATCACTTCATCTTATATAAGAAAACTAGAGAAACCGTATCGTTAAATGAACGAATCGAACACCTGATTGAACTGAGACTGCATAGCTGGGCTCACGGGTTGTGGGTTTCGCTGGAACTGTTGCTGCCACTGTGGTTGTGGCAGAGTACTACCGGCCATTTGACCCTGTGAACTCATCGATGCATACTGACCACCGGGACCGCGGGACTGTTGCTGGCCACTTTGTGATACTTGTGGTTGCTGCTGTTGATAGTACTGTTGCTGTGAAACTGTCCCTTGCTGCCACTGCCCACTTTGTTGAGTTACCATCTAAACATTTTAAAGGAACAGTGACTGTGCAATAGCATTAAATCAATCAAACAATAGTCATGGTTCTTGCTATTCTTTTTTCTAACAATTTAAAGATTTACGTATGCAAATGAAACATAGAAATCCAAAAAATTTTTCCTTAAATAATCGGAAACAGTCAATATGCCAGCATTTTTCCCAATATCATTGCCCTTCCAAGCATGATGAGTGAAATTCGAAAAATTACTTGAGGTTGCCTTATCATTCCCTGTTGTTGTATGGCACCAAGCTGTTGCTGATTTAAGCTTTGTGGAATCTAAAAATTAAATCAGTCATGACTATCTATAACTACAGAAGGCGAAGAAAAATTTCCTCGGATTTCATTTAAAAAAATGACATGTGTTTCTCTAGGGTCACAAAAAATTGCTCTATTTTTTTATTTGAAAATTCTGGAACTTACATCTCCACCACTTCTTTCATTGTTCGTCATTTTGATAAAAGCGGCAAAAAGATGAGGCATTTTCTTTAGATCATTCAATACTTTATCTTTGTCTTCCGCTCGTTCTGCATTTTTAAACCTTGTTAATATTGCTTGCACCTGGGGATCTTGCTGCAACGCGGTGCGATCGATTGGCTGTCCAGCATAAGCTTTCGCTAAAACAGTGACAGTAATTCAATTCACAGAATTTTGAACCTCTCAAAGTAAACATCTAAAATTCCAGAGGGTGAAAAAAAAGAATTCGAAAAAAACCTCGTAAATTCTGCATTCCCTGCTGCATCATTGGCTGTGATTGCGAATTCTGTGGCACGGACTGTCCAAGCATCATTGGTTGTCCTGCATTACTTCCGTAGCTAGAAGATGGCCCTGCGGTTCCGGATATACCATAGGCGCTTTGCTGTGTAGCACCACGTCCATATGGTGGAGGATTCATCGGCTGTTGAGTATGTTGCATTTGTCCAACCATTCCGGGCCTTTGCATACCGCCCATTTGTGATGTCTAATATCAGGAAAAACTGATTAGGTCACATCAATCGCTATTTCTTTCTTCCTCTCCTTCCCCTTAAACTGTCACTCATAGGACAGCAGTGTCTAACTCTAAACTGAATTTATTCATAAGCACTCTAAAATTTCTGGTCTTTGAAACATCTGGTAAAAAAAGGTTATGAACGAACCATGTTCATGCGTACGCCTTGCTGATGTGGAGCTTGTTGCTGTTGAACTTGTGATATCGTATGGCTTTGCTGCATTGTTGTCGGTACACCCATCATGTGTATTTGTGAACTGCTCTGTACAGCACCACCTGCAGTAGGTGCTACATCATTAGTAATAATGACAATAATTAGCAGCATGCATATATTGTTTTCTGAATAATTGCAATGACATAAGAACTTACTGTTGAAAAGAAATACGGATATTAGCTTATTGATAAATTCGAAAGTCCGAACCTAATCCGAGCTTTTACTAAATTCATCAATAGGGGTACCATCAATGATGTTAGCGAAGAATAATATGGCTAAGGATACCTGTTGCCATTCATCACTTCAACGCGTTACATGTTAGAACGCAAGAAAACTTCGATGTATTCTTACGACGAATATAACGCAGTGGTAGAAAAAAGGCACACTACAAATTCAACCAAATTACTAGTAGCTATCATTAGATAGCAATCCTTCCACAGTGAGATGCACGTTTTAAAAATGCACTAGGATTGTATATGAGCAATAATATCATATAAAAGTATTATCTATATCACTCTACCTAAAGGATGTTGCCAACGGGAAGGATAACAGTGCTTAATTTTAATCAAATGTTAATCCTAGTCCTACTTTCTCGCGACCAGGGCCTAACCTTTTCCATGTGTCTGGTACTGATGTGGCTGCAGTTGCTGCATTTGTGCCATTTGTTGCTGGCCAGACGGCATCACGCTCTGCGGCTGTCCCATTTGCATGTGCTGCATATGTGCCATACCCGTGCCCTGATAAGTTTGCATTGATCCAGCACCATGATGAGTCGCCACTGTCTGGGATATATTCATTGCACCAGTTGGTCCTGAAAGATGCATACCGCGAAATTCCACTGATTTCAAAATATCACAACTCTCCTTTTCTCTGTTGTTTGCATTCCCATCTACAACTGAAATCCATCGAAAAATCTCCGAATCACAGGAATCCAGAAAAGGAAAAATATCGAATTATAAAGGGCATATGCACACAAATCTTTTTTAAACTGATGTAGCACTGACAAGTGTATTCCGTAAGTTAAAACAATCAACAATACTGCCAACAGCTAAACACAACGGAATCTAACATACCACTCTTTAAGCTGATCTCGCAGTTTTGAGAGTATCCAAATAAACTTCGACTTCACTAACCGTTAGATTGCGAGGGGCCTGGTGTGTTGGTTCCACCATAACCACTAGAAAGCATATCCATACGTCGACGCATCATCATGTCAGCACGACGATTCTGTGACCTTCGTTGTTCTTGTAGTTTCTGACGAATATTTAAGCAGAATGGAACCTAAAAAAAATAATTAAAAAACTTAAATCTTGTTCAATAGAGAGACCGCAAAAATTGATATTTCCAAGAAGTCCAAAAATATATATATTTGTCGGCTATTTAAAATAACGCGTTGAATCTACCTGACATGAAGTCCCGTTGCAATGCTTGGCATGATAGCAACATAGAGCAATAAGCTGTTTGCAAATAGCGCAATTTGCATTTTGACGCTTTTTGCAACCTTTGGTGTGTTGCACAACACGCTTCATTTTATGACATGTTGAACGGCGACAATTTGCATCGCGACATTGGCATGCATGTACCAGTGATTGAATGCACCGCTGCAATACAAGTTTATAGTAATAATAATGGATTTGACATTTTGTAAAAGTCTAATTCCAAACTCGGAACTATGGAAAAAAACTTCGTTACAAGAAAATTACAATGAAATTATGTTACCTGAATGCTTTCAGTTCGCGAATTGCTTGCATCATGTTTATCCTCTACTTCCACTAATGTGCTGACTTTCTCCAGCTTGTGTGGATGCGACATTGTTTCATAGCATTTATTGCAAAGATCGAAATCCTGGAAAAAAGTCCTTTTAGAACTTTTCGATAAAATCGACAAAATAACACTTATAAAAAACTTCGACATTATTTAACATCAATTCCTATTTCATTCCTAAGATACACAGAATCTTTGAAAGCTTACTTCGCAAGTTGTACAGTGCCATATAGCTGTTCCTTGACAACTATTACATGTGTATGAAAGTCCTTCGCTTTTCTCCTGATTGTGTAATGCATGACAAAAGCATATCGTGGAATATTTGGCGCGTCGTAATGAGGAAAATTCCCAATGTTCATCACGAGCACGCGTTAAGAATGTATCACGCCCATCCATAAGATCACTTGCTATTAATGGATCAGGATCCTGAAAAACAGCCAGATATATTTCTGAAAATGCTAAGAAAAATGAGTAAAAGCTAACCCAGCATCATATGGAGCTTGCATCACGCAGCAAATATATACATACAGATCTTCAATTCATGACGTTTATAACATTATTTCATTATGCTTTATGACTCAATAGCAGATAAAAACATTAAAGAGAAGCTGAATAGAGCAACATTGCTTGATTGCTTTCTTACCCCCCACTGCTATGTTAACAATATTATCCATCAAATTCTTCTAGCCAATCTGGTCTTGAATAAATCATCCCAAAAAACTTGTCTCATTACTCTCATTACTTCATGCATCCAGAGTTTCTGCACCAATTGTTCGCTAAATTTTTGCTAAGTAGTTAATTTATCGATGTAACATACCTTAATTTCATTGTTTTGTGCTGATAACTCCGACTGCGGGCTCATAAGTCGAATAGTAAAGAATACTTCCTTATGTTTCTCGAAATTTATGTACAATTTATCGGTGACTTCATTACCCGTTTGAGAACAAACCTTTTTCTTATTCTTCGAGTTACCCTTCTTCAAATTATTCTTCTTTTTGCTAAAATAAAGATATTCCTATTTTCAAAGTCTTAAAATAATCGAATTTTCCTATTCTTTTTAAAGAAATTTCTACTTTCAAAGTCTTAAAAAAATAAATCGAAGACTTTGTTATCGAAAAAAATCATGAAGATTTTTCTTCTAGTCTTGTCATTCAAATCACTTTCTATAAGTTATGCCTCTAATATTTGCTTCTATATTAATGAAAAGATTAACGTGAATTAAACATATACCCATCTCTTCGTAAAATAACGACAGTTATTACCTGTTCTTTTTACTCTTTCCATTATCTCCATCATGAAACATATCATCACCGTCTTCATCCTCGGCATTTTGTTCTTGGCGTGCCGCTTCCTCCTGACGCTTGCGCTCCTGTTCTTCATTTTGTGCTTCACGAATGCAGTCTTCGATTACATTGGGCCAAAAATCCCCTTCAAAATAGGATAGTTCCATCGGCGTCACCAAGTTCTCATCCCGCGCCTATAAAAAGTAAATAATAAATTTCAAAGATTTCAAGCGCCATTCCTCAATAACTCACGCCTTTCGAAACATCTCAAACTAAACTGTCAAGATTATCGAGATAAAACTGGTATAAATAACTTTGTTAGAAATATACCGACATTACCGACGAAATAGGAAGGTGAAAAAGAATAAGACTACATAACATTCAGTAAACTCACCTGCCTGTAAGTCCTCAGTTGAGTGATGTTACCTGATCAAAATATTAATACTCATATGCACGATTAGAATAAAAAAGTATGTTTTCTGCAAAAATGCTATCCTAATTAAAAAATTTATAAATCAAACTCGGGTACTCACTTGTTTGTAAATATCTTTGTAATCAAAAACTGTATGCTCGCCAACACCTTTATCAAGCATTTTCTTATACCAATCTTGAAGGCGTTTAGGCTTTGGTATTCGCTGTTCTGGTGGATGACAGTGGAAAATGTAGTCGTCACCCTCAGATGGTGGACATGCCCAAATATGAGCCATTGTATAACCCAACATCATTGCATAATTTAGATAACCCAACAAGATTTCGTGATATACTTCCGTACGTAACTGTCGAGGTTGAAAGAAATGCACTGAATCCAAGTAGGCTATATATACTCGTCTGGAAAATAACACAATGTTAAAACATCAAGTGAACCACTACCTATCACTAAGCATAGTTAAAAGATTTTGAAATCTAAGAATTCAAAATTTTAAATCTGAACAAGTAATCACTAGGGTTCCAAATTCTTATACCTTTTATTTGGTGGTGGGCAGTTGCTCCCATATTCTTGCACATGTAAACCGAAAAAACAAACTTCCACACCGTCAATGACTTCGAAAGCAAAAATTGCTTTTGTTCGATACGGGAATTTTTCCGGAAAACCAAGAGATCCGTACCTAAAAATTCTCGAACTCATCTTGGAATACCCAGCACATTCTCTTGAAACTCCATGTCCCAGAAGTTGTTAGTACATTCTCTTAAAACTAGATTAAAACCACTATTTATTCTCAATTAAATCTTTAGGCAGCCCCGATAGCACTTAAGTGCTCTACTTAGGAAAACTTGTAATGCCAAAAAATATTTTTTTACTTTTGTTTCATCAAAGGCTTCACTTCCACTTCCTTGTCAGCCGCACAAAGCACACGAATGATAACTTCATAATCTTTGCCAGCAGGATTATTCTTCATAAATTTGTTGACGCGCTCCTCAATAAATCGTGACAATTGGCAATGTGGTAATTTCTTGGCTGTAAAACGATTTTCTGGCGGTGCCAAATTTTTTTCGCGGCGACATGTCGCACAAATGAATCCGTCCGGAAAAACCTGAAGTAAAATAAAATTAAAAATAAAAAGAAAATGTTAGATATCCCAAGCTCGTGAATGATAATCAATGCTACGAAATAATACTTCAATTATTATACTGACCGTTCACTTATATTTTCCCTATTTCTGCTTTTACTAATCATTTCGTCAGAGCCATCTTATATTTACTTATTAAAGATGAAGACTAGATATATTTTCATACATCTAGTTCTCATTTTTTCTAAATCTTGCGAAATACCATGATTATGTCCAATATAGCCAAAGCCTTTGAAAAACAATTGAATTGAAAATTGAAAAACAATAGCCTATGCTCTAAGGCAGCGATAGAAAACATATTGAACAATCACTGGTTATTATGAAAATTCAAAACTGCTCTAAATTTTTGGCAAAATTTCTTTTTGGAATCATCAGACTAACTCGGGTATAGTCAAGTGGTATATGATTTAAAACTTACTTTTTTGTTGAAAAGCGCGCATACTCGGTGCCACTTCCGAAAGCATTTGATACATTTTTCAAATGGCTCAATATCAATCTGATCATTCTTCATTTGTACAAATTTCGATTTCGGCACCATACTGTAAACAAAATTTATTTGTTGTGACTTCCACGGCATTCGTCTCGATGTCTTCAAAAATGATATATATTAATAAGCTTACTTAGATGTATCGTTTGGATTCTCACTCAAACTTATGCCACTTTCTGGTAAAGCTTCAAAACATTTCGTGCAGTATGTATAACGCTCCGAAACTGTTACACCATATTGGGTTGATCTGAAACATAAACATGCAACAAATGATTATCATTATTTCTGTCAAAATGTCATTCGCTTTTTTACTTTACAATTTTTCTATTTAAAATTTTTATCAAAGAGAAAATTATTTACCTTATTAAAAATTTTGACAACAATGAATAGTTGAAATAAAAGAACACGTACAACACAATAAATTAGAAAATTCAGAAGATAAATTACGTTGTTTCATAAACATGGTATATCTGGTCGCGTGCGATGGTACACATTGACTGGCCATAACAAAACAGTGCCAGTGGCGTGAACGACATTTTTTGGCCACAGCAGTAACCCATTCTTTGCATTATAGGATTGATTTCTTCCACAAAAGCCTCGCTCAACTGCAAATGGATTCCATTTCCTTCTTCAGATTTTTTCCAACTTACATTTCAAAATGAAGCATTAAATCATAAACCCCATTTATTATCATTTGAAAAACTTTCATTTAATTACCAATCAATGAACTCTATTTTCGCAATCCATTCATCGACTACTTCAATAGATATTTCGCTATATCTTCTAGATGAAATATTCTTACCGTATAAATAAAGACTTCTTTGACACCATACACTTGTTTTTTTGATCTCCTCTTAAAACCCTTACTTCATTGGAGTTTCATAAAAAATTACCTTATTGCAATATTTGTAAACTTTTGAATTCTTCCGGTTATATAGCCAAGCATTATCGAACATTAACCACATATCATCACTGAAATCCCATGGATTCTTATATATACCTTTATCAAGTTTACCGCTTACTGTTGACAGATCCATAGGTTTCTTGACAATATCGAAATAATCCTGAAATTTTCACAAGTATTACAACTCATATCGCTTGTCTCTAAAATATTCACATTCACTATTAGAATACCCGAAACTATTAGAATTCGATAAATTTACAAAAAAGAAAAGACAGATTACCGGGATGCCAAGAATTTCCGGATCGACAGGCATTCTGAATGGTATTGATTCTTCCATAGCATATATTCTATCCAAAACTGGTTTCATCCTGTGTCGTAATTCATTGGCATCAAACACCTGAACTTATTTAAATTGATGCAATTCATGAGAAATTTTTTTGGATGTGTGGAAGTTTTTTTCCTCATTTCCCTGACAACACTATGAGTATGTATCAACCATTTCCATATATCAGATACCTTATCAGGCAATTCCTTCCTTTCTTCAACTTTCGTTCCGCTTTTACTATCAACTTTACCAGCTTTCATTTCCATTTTAACTGCACTAATGGAAGCTTTGGCCTTTTCTGCGTTTGCTGTATTGGATGTCCCAGGTTTCGCTAAAAAAAGATTGTCATTTATAGCAACAATTCAACGCAAATCTATTGTTATAAAAACCTGCTATGAAAATATTCTTCTGAATTTCCAGCTTAAACCTTTCCTGAAATCCCTGATCAAATTCCCATTTAATTTTTTTAAAGCCACCTATCAGAGCTGTCCATCTTCAAGTTTCTATTCATCGAGAAAAATTTAATGAAATTAATTTCTGCGAAACCTACAACAACATCCAGAGGCATCTGCTGCACCTGATGGTTCGGTACCAATTGATACATCACCAGGCACTTCCATTTTTATCCCTGAAGTTACTACCTGACCATTCGTCATTGCATTTCCACCTGCATGTCAAGGAATTAGAGCAAAAAATTGATGAAAACAACAAGAAAATCCCATATTCTTAAGATTAATGATTTAAAATTTCTACGGTGAATATGTAATTACAACGAATTTAAAAATCCTTATGAAAGAAACTTTTACTTATAGAGGTAGACAGTCCATTCATTTGTGGTGTGCCGGTATTGGTGTTTGGTTGGAATGACGGTGTTGTTCGGTTCGGCGGACCAAGCATATCGAAGTCAACTGAAAACGGAAATCAAATAAGCACCTAACAGAATAAAACTAACTTATTGTATCAATAATAAAACTAATAAAACAATCATTAATTTCAAACATCTAATGTGACTCACAGTTTTGTAATAGCAAGTTCAATACCGAACGATATTAATTTCATTCAGTAATATGATACTAAATTGGCTTATTAAAAATTCCAGTTCGTTATGTTTCATCTTTCTAACTCACTGTGCTACGTAATGTAAAGGACGAACCACCTGGCTGGGGTGGTTGCATGCCAGCCACGGCACCCGCTTGTCCTTGTTCATGTAACCGCTTGATTTTTTTCTCTTGCAATTCTTTTTGAATTTTATAGATTTTTTCCGCAAGCAGATGATAATATTCTCCCTGAAAAAAGAAACTTTCATTTCAGACCCAAGAAAACATCAACAAATCCGAAAAGTAACATTACTCAGCAACAGTTGCTGTTATACATAATCCTACAACACCATAAGTAACAAGAGATGTATGATTTCCTCCCTTGTAATTAATTTATTGCTTCATAAGCTAATTTTTGTTATTAAACTGCTCCTTATTGTGCAAAATTTTCTATCCTTACGCGATCATTGGCTAATTCGAACATTTCTCTTTCAACTTTTCGCGCATAATTGACTAGATCTTTGATACGTTGATCGTGGATTGACGCTGGGTCAGGTGACGGAAATATCGCTTCCACAAGTTTTCTAACCAAATGATTACGCAAATCCTCAGTTACTGCATTCTGCCATGGTTTCTTAACTACTGGCGCATCCGGAGGTGGTAAACCAATGATATCCTTCGAAGTGATGAAAATACCGGAACCTTTACCTAATGATGGCACCAATTTGTTCGGTGGATTTGGTGATCGAAACGGATCGCTGAAGAATGTGTTTCATGAAGTCTTGAGATTTAACTGACTGAACAACGCATTGCACAATAAACTGCTTCAATAAGATTTTTAAATATTGAAAAACTTCTCGGAGACTCACTTTGAAGGATTGAAATCTATTAGAAAAGCGTTGATTGATGTGGGCCCACACGAATCATATGCTGACATGTTATGTGAATTTGCATTTGGCGGCAAAGCCGTACCAGGCTGGTGTTGTTGCTGCTGTGGTTGTTGCTGTTGTGGTGCACTGATTCGATTTTGCATACCAATACTATCAATGTCTGTAGCATTGCCTGGAACACATGGTACTTGTTGCATAGATCCTGCTCCCGCGGTTCCGAACGGTTCTGCACCTAAATAAATTTCTATAAATCAAATTCTTCAATATTTGTAAAAACATCCTGCAGGGAGTTGAAAATTTTCAAATAGTTTAGTATAATGAAATTATTTGACGAACATCAGCATAAAATTTACCGGAAACAGTACGTCGATCAACTGCTTGAGCTACATTTTGCCTACTCTTCAATGGTGTGCATACTGGACAGTCGTCACGCACACAGTTCTTCCAGTGAGAAATGATTTGTCGGGATGACGGACAGTGAGGGTCTGTAAGTATTCCGAATCTTATAGATGAGCGAAGAAACGTTTAGCTAGACTTCCATGCATATTTTGTTTTCTTCATTTTATAATTAGTCGTTTTTTCTTTAATTTCCAATTTAGACATACAGTACAGCGCACTATTTCATTAGCAATGCATCTGCATATTACATAATGATATAGCTATTCATCCCGATGGAAGTTAAGATATCAGCCCACTAACTGTTTATTTCAATCTCTTATCGGCAGTGTTTATATTTGTGCCTAACATTAATGTTATTTGTATAACTAACAATTTCATACACTACGGCACTTTAGCCAAAAGTGATCAATATGTACACGACAGTTATATGCGTTCAGGACGGCACATCTGATCTAATCTGTTTAACAGTTGACAAAAACGAAAAGAGAATGAAAAAAGCAAAACATACAATTACAAGCACTTCCACTATTACATGTTGTCATATGTTGCAATACTCCCTTCATCGTTGAACAGTGCTGTAAAGTGCAAGTATATCGTCCATTCGCTCCATCCTAAAATAAGCATAATTTTTCATAATTCAAAAATCATAATTTATATGTAATTCAGAACGACACCAATATTCTGAAAAAAGCAATAATTGGTACTTTTTCTACGTTTTCACTTTTTGATTTGTCTTATTTTCCTTTTACACCTTTCGATCTAACATCACTATTCACCAGTCACTGAGAATCGAAAACAAAAAACTTTTTGGAGATGAACAAAATCCATTCCTACTCAAAAATCTTGTCGTAATTAAAATTAAAAAATTTGCAAACAAATAAGAATAAAAAAACACGTGCCGCAGATCGTTCTCGCTGTTGGCATTTGTGGGCATGCAAAAGTAATACCAACTGTAACTGAATAAGTTTTCGTCGTCCAGGGTCTTGATTATTCCCTTGCGTACCACTAGTTGAAAGTGTACTGCTTATTGATGTTCCATCTCGCGGCGCAGTGTTGTTCATGCCAGCAAACTAAAGTTTTTTTTATTCTTCAACTTTTCAGGAAACTTCTTTTTAAGACATCCCATCATTAAGTAAAAAGAAATATTGAAAAAAAAATAAAAATGATATATCACTGTTTTGTGTCCGTATTTTGAAAAATATTAAAAATTCGAATGCCAATTCAGAAATGCTTCCCTTGATGATAAATCTAATAACCAAGAATCATATTTTCTTCAAATCTGGACGAGGCATAAGAATGTTTTTCTTAAAACTTATTTCGATAAGTAAATACTCAGTTATTGGAGATACTTTTTTATCGGCGTGCAAATTTTGATCGTATATTTCCTTAATTTTTATTAAAATTTTCTTTTGTAGAGAATATTTTTCTTTAGAGAGAGTGTATTACTGAATTTGACGATAATTAAAAATGTGCAAGATAAACAAATATTACCTGTTGTATTTGACTAGTAGCTGAAGCATTTGCTGGTGGCATCTGAGGTGGCGGCAAACTCGACAGTATTCCAGATTTTGGGCCAGATATTGGGCCGGGAGTCCCTGCTATTGTCGCTGTTGATGTACTCATCTGCGGCGGCATTACATTTCCGTGAGTTAATGATGATGATTGTGGTTGTGGTGGTGGCTGCTGATTTGGTTGCTGTTGTGGTGATATTGTCGAATGCTCCATCATGTGTGGTATCATCTGAGGATAAACAAAACTGATAATAAGCTTTTCGGAACATTCCTCGAGGAAACTTAGGATCGACACATTTACAGCTTCAATTAATGAGTACCGTCTAGGATTACTTAACTAATTAATGATATGAAATGATTTGACTTCAATGATTCCGGCTTTGTTATGAAAAAATCAAAATTCAGAGTTTGAGCAAAATTTACTCTCTGAACTTACCGTACTACTTTGTTGAATCGCTGGTGGTGCAGATGGTGTATTAGTGTAAGGCATTGGTTGGTTTCTAGCTACCATATGGCTCTGTGGCAACTGCGCATAATTTGGCGATGCCTTAAACTGAGTAAGTGAATAAACAACTAAAAATATCGCATCGGATACACAAAGTAATCAAAGCAGTTTTATATTAATACGAAGAATTTCACTTCGTCTATCTGTTACTTAACGCATCAAAAATGACATAAATAACTAACTCCAGTTTGCGTCTGCGAAATACCATAAGGATCGGATGCTCGCTGAGGTGGTATAGCATAACCACCTTGGTCATATGGTGGACCCTGCTGGACCATAACTGTTCGCATCATTTGTCCACCCCCTTGCTGCATTGTTATCATACCTGGAAATCAGTAATAATATATTCCGATATTTTACAGATTTGTTTAATAATTTCACAGCAAATTTAATATCTAATAAAATGAAAAATTTTTTCCTTGATGTTTTTTCAAGTGCTCCAAAATTTTAAGGAAATGATCGATGATAACCTTGATGAGCAGCTCGGATTCGGGGAGCCGAAGTTCCATTAAGCATTACGGGTGCACTACCCCTAGCCAAACTCATAGCTTGTGGTGTTGCACTTCGTGTAGCGGCCGCATAAACCGCCCGTGAACCTGTATTTGCATAAACTGGTCGAGAACCTGCAAGTGAATTTTCAGGTTTTCCACAAATTTTATCCACTATTAAATTTCCTTTAAGACCTTAGGAAAAATACCAATGCGGAAATACAAATTATAAAATTAACGAACCGGATTGCTGATAGGCATATGAAAGAGATTGTGGAGATTGCTGATTAGGCGGTGGCATCATCTGTGAGGCAACATAGCTGCTTTGCTGAGTTGGGTGCCCTAGCTGAGGACCGCCACCCTGAAAGGATTTACATTTTGAAAAATGGTATAAAATTGGGGATAGATCTGTAATCTTTTCAGATAGGCTCTCAATCGATGATGATACACTAAATTTTTACTCCAGCATCTTATAATGATATGCCACTGAGGTTACAATACACCCAACTTACATTGTATTTAACAACACTATCTGAATTTGCCAAGCGGAATAAGCTTTTACAGAAAATAGCACTCCACTTCACCACTCACTAAAAACTAAGTTTCTGATCTGTATAATTATGGATTTGCTAAATTATACCGGTTGCATAGTTATATCAGTGTGACCTGCGGGCCCGTACATTTGAGGTCCAGTAGCTCGTAATCCTCGTGGTCCAGCAGATAGAGCTACATTTGGAGGACAATTTGCTGATGCCATCATCGTGGCACCACTCGTCACTGGACTCCTAAAATGCACACTTCTTCATCTTATGAAATCAAATTTAAATCAATTCTACGGAAGAACTTGAGTGAAAATTAAATAATTATTTTGCAGTAGTTGTAAGGAAAATTTGTATAGAAATTTCAAACAGAACTTTAATAACTAACCTCGTCTGATACTGAGTAGTATAAGGTGGCCGTGGACTGTTTAACGTTTGATTATTTTGGTTCGATGGATTTAACAATAACTCTTGCAAAACACTGGGTTGCGATGGAGCATTTTGCTGTGATTGGGCATTATGTGTTTGCGCTGGTGCACCGGCTTGAGACTGTATCACTGGCGATGGTCCCATATAATTCCCATGGCTAACTGAGGGTGGTTGGCTTGTACCGCCAGTGGAACCAACGGATGATGGTCCCGGTCCATTATTCGCCTGAAAAAGATTTCATTGATTGCATGAAAAATTTTCATACATTAGCTCAAAAAGAATAAAAGAAAAGTGAAAGAAGATATCACTCAGCTATCACAAGAATTGATACTGCTCGTAATAACTTAATTTTTACCATGCATGATATCAAATAGATTTCCTCTGTTTATATCAATAACTTATCAAACAACAGACAAATGGACCTGATGACACTTACGAAACCATTTTGCAACAGACAACTAGAATTGATGGCAACTGCCGAAGTTTGCTTTTACAATTTGAATTCAATAATGATTTTCCTACATGCAGTTATTTGAAGTTATATATGAAATCACAGATGACGCAGGACCCACTATTCAGATTTTAATTAACGTTCACGCAAAAATAAAATTTCGGAATCTTGATGCCAATAATAATTTATTAGACAAAGAAATATAATTTCAAATAACTACATCTAGAAAAACCGTTACTGAATTCAATTTGTAAAAGCAGACTACTTAATGGCTTTAAATTACTGGGACTAATTGCTGATTGATCCGAAAAATAAGCTTTTCCCATCCACTCCATAACTAAAATAAGCCTTTCCCTTTTACTCCATTATTTTTACACTAATCGTTTTATAGTAAATTAATCGAAATTGGAACCGAAAAATCAGTAAACAGTTGTATTGAGCGGCTAATTTCCATAAATTTCCACTGATGAAGTCGCATGGATCAACTATGTAATTTTAAACACCGGAGATATTAATCAACGTTCAACGCAAAGTGACTTAGTAAAAGAAATTCAATGAAATAATGTGCTGCATTATGAATAAAACTTCATCCGAGAAAGTTTTGACATCGCAAAGTATGGAATAATATGAAAAAATGCCATACCGACATATGAACACTGGATGGTGTTTGAGACATCGTCTCCAGAATGGACGGCAAAGGCTCCAATTTCTCCAGTTCACTCAACGGATCATCATCAAAGTCTGTAACGCACAGCTTGGAATGATTTACAAAGTTTAACAGTAGTTGAAATCAAAAATAAGATTCAAGAACAGATAACTGATACCAGCAAGATTTAAAATAACTGCCACTCTAACAACATACGTTGAGAAATTTTATAACACTGAGAAGATACGAAACTCACCGGCATAATATGGGCTAAGGAATAACATTCTCCTAGCATTTTTAAATGGAGAAGAATAACAAAATTATCCAAGGTATATTAAAATCTAACTTATATTCTTTAGGATTTGTTTAGCAAAAAAAGTCTTTAGGAAATAAGAACTCTAAGAAATGCAACTGCACAGAAATTAAAAATGTTAATCTACCTTTCGGAAAATTACAAATTATGAAAAAATAATTGAAATCAATCTGAATGACTAGAATCAATTGAAATGATCAGTTATCCTCATTGCTGGGCCAATATTAGCCCAAACCAAAAATTTATTAGACAACCATCAACTGCTTATTATAATAAACTAGAGAGACACTTTGTTTTCGGTTATAATCATACGTCCCATAGTTAGAGCATGACTTTAAAGATCAAACTAAGTGAAAATTCACTGATCAATAATAACTAACCTGATGGTGATGAGAGTTTCGGTTTTTTCGACGATGGTTCATCGAGAACATCAGTCATTTTCCCAGCTTTGATTGACTGGACGATATAATAAACTGAGTAAATTGAGTCTAATTCAGGACAGAAGATGATAATTCATCTGAGGCTAAGCCTCAATGGGCCAAAAAGTTGTATGATTATCGCCAGCAAGATAACCTTTCGTCCAGCAGCGAATTTCTCGTTGCAATTTTACGCGTAAATTCGGATAGTAATGAACAGACACGGTTAATAAAGATAAAAATGCGGATAAAACTGATCGATAATATTATTTTTTAATCGTTTCCTCATCCAAATTCTCTAGCTACAATAATTATGTGTCCACAAATATGACTTGATTACCCTAACGATTACAGAGCAAATTTCTGCTGATAAGGATTTGCGTCCTTTGAGTTAACTAGTACAATCTGAAAACAGGAGAAAAATCATAACTGAGTTAATGACTCGCAAATAGTTAAACGTTCATGGCACAACAAAGTTTTTAAAACCGCCAGTTCTGATAAACTTTCACTAATAAGCTCCATCAAACATTCCATGAGTTTGACATGAATAAGCTTTTGAAAGTCACTAATATCAGAGTCTTTCTGCTGTTGTCCTTCATCCCGAAATTATCCTAATAACTTCTCTCCTCATCTTAAAATCCTTTACCAGCAAGCGAATACTTATAATTAACAGTATACCTAAATTTACCCGACAAATACGGTACAGCATTAATCAACATGCATTAAAAAGATATCATTCTCCTGATTACCCATAATAACCATTCAACTTCGTTAACTTTCGAAACTACTTTCGAAAGTTACATTGCAAGGACGCATAATTTGGACCTCTACGAAAAAAAAGCATACTTTACCTACACAACTAACCATTTCTAATAATATAGAAGTATGCCTTAGTGAGCAACCACTTATGAACGAGCTTCCCTAGCAAACACAATCAAATGCAACGAGATAACCTTATTTGTCTCGTAAGCAATTAACTTTCATGTAGATAATCGAATCTTTCTTATCAGACTTCAGAATTACAAACACGTTCCGGAATATTATGGATTTCCATGACAGTTAACAATCCAGTTAAAAAAAATATGATATATATCATTATATCGATAAGCACACATATGCAGCTAATCTAAAAAATCCTAACTATGTCATTAATTTAAAACAAAAGTAACAACAAAAAAATTGTAACGAACGACTGCATGTTATGTTGCAAGAACTGCTTTTGAAATCCAACCGTAACAAGCATTGACAAGCTGTAAGACAAGTGACTGCACCTTCGTATTCCTCTTACAAGCATGGTAGAAGTAAAGTTCATAATGCAAGTAACCGCATATCAGAATATGCATTCTTACAGCAAATTGTGCTGTATCCAGTTTTTCACACAACAAAGACAAAAAAATGACAAGTCACGATGCATGCATGTTTTGCATTTGCATTTGCGATTCTACCGCGCAGCATGTGACTGCAAAAGACAGGAAAAAACGCACGCGCATCAAGGGGTTGATTTGGAAAAAAGATGAGTGCCGCATAAAACAACATTGGTCAGCTGTCCACATTCACACACACACACACACACACGCATATGTACATAAACATACACACACGCACGCACACACATGCATGCATGCATGTATATGTATGTGTATGTACGTATGTATGCATGTATGTACAGACACGTAACAATGCTATTTGTCGCTGCATATGTTGGAGACGTAATACTCACAACAGATGAAAAGACAAAAGAAACATTAAGAGAAGAGGAAATAAAAGTATTTTAAATAAAAAGATAACAAGGAATGATGAAAAATAAGAGAGTTAGAGTGTGATATTATAGCAACGCATACGCGTTGCATACAGAAAAACATGAAGGAGAGAAAGAAGAAGAGAAACGGGCGAAAAAGAAGAGTATCAGGATAAGCAAAAGTAGAGGAAAAGAAAGAGAAAAAAGAAGAAGAGCTTTTGGAGGAAATAGAAGTAAGTACATCAGTACTTTATAATAAGAGAGGGAAAGAGAAAGAGAGAGGAAAAGGGGAAGAAAGAGGAACTGATGAGAGTGCACGAAAGGTTGCACGCAACGCGAATTCCTCTCCCATTCACGGTTCGAAACTTTCGATTAAACTATTGTTGAATTTAACAGAAAGAATAGAAGAGAGCGGAAGGGATGTAGGAGGAAAAGAATGTAAACAAAAAGAAAAAGTGCAAAAGAAGAAAAAAAGAGAAGAGAGTATCGGAAGGAAAAGAGGGAGGACAAGATGTTAGAAGATAAGAGAGAGAATCAAAATGAATAGTAAAAATCATGCATAGTAGTTGTTGCAGACAAAAAGTTAACGAAAGAGAAATTAAAGAGGAAAGAAAAAACAAAGAGAGAGCAGAGAAAGAGAGAAAGATGAAAATGCGGGGGACAAAAGTCCACACAAGTTTCGTACATTGTTGCCTTTGAATATTCTCTTTCCCGAACGGCTCAAATTGTATCCATCCTGTCAGGCTGGCACCATCGACACACAGACACCGAAAGACATGCAAAGCAAATAGAAACATATATAGATGGAAGGAGAGAAGGAGGGGAGAGACAGAGAAGGAGCCGCAGCGCGCCTCAGTGAAAGCTTCCTGGCCTGAGCTATAGCCGAAGACAAGTTGTGGTAAGCACATGGAATCCTAACACGAATGAATGCATTAGCTACTGTAAACATTTTTTCTGTTGCAGCGCTAAGAATATTTAAATAACACATATATAGATTGAATGACAATGGAATGATTGAATTCAAAAGGAGGGATGGGCAATTCGGCAAGTAGTTGGTGTGTTGTTATATTGAGTGATGTATGATCCCGTGAGAAACCGTTTCAGGATGATCCTAATACGGAAAAAACAATCCATAAGGTTAGAAATATTTAACTTTATCCGGATTTACGAATGAAAAATAACAACGAAGTAAAATCATAGTAAAATTACTTTATAAAACATTTCCTTTCCCGATTATTGTCTCCTTATCCTTTCCGATGTTTCCTCTTTTTCCGTTCATTTTTTTTTCATATAATTTTGTTGAAAACTGCAAATCATTCCGTATTGTTGGAAATTTTATTAGATTTATGAAGAAAAAGAAGTATTATTGTAAATGTTTATTCAAAAAAAATGTTCCATCATGCAAATTTTATACGATGAAAATTTGCTGAAAATATTGAATGTATGTATTTGATTCAACTATTAATGTCCTTTTGACCTATGGAATAATTAGAAATTTTGATGATTATAAAAGTTTTCTTGTAGCATCAGTGTTGTTCAGATCTTAATTCCAATGATATGAAATCTATTTGAAATTGCCTTTTTTAATTAATTACCTTTTTTTTCAAATTCTTTCTTGGTATTCTTTTTCATTTCAATTTAGGGTTATTTATTAATTTCAAAATGTTTGATTTTGATCCTTTCGATCCTTTTAAGTCTCAATTAATACTATATCAAAACATTTACATTTACAAGACAGATAAATTGTCTTGCAGGAATGTAATTTAACAATCGCCTTTTTTTTAAATATCTTTTTAGCTTTAAATGGTAATTGAAAGAAGGCAAATACTGAATTTTTTCCTTGCCTTGTTTGAAGTAATAAATTATTTTAATTCTTTAGTTATTTTATTAATAAGAAATGTTTTTGAGCAAAATTTTCCTCTCGGGATATTTTCAAAACTATCTTGCAAAGATCAAGAAATACTGGAAAGCAAAACTCTCTTGCAATGATCGAGAAATACTGGAAAACATTGCAAAAGGTATGAGTAACACTAATCTCCTACTTATTTTATTTTCATTATTCTCTGTGTTAGACGGGAAAGGGTGAAAGAAAAGGAAAAATGAAGATTAAAGATTACGCAAAACTTTTCTTTCCATTTCCGATAATTTGATAAAATTTAAAATGGATGACCATTTTTGCTTAATTTAATGTGAACATCCTATGTTTGCTACGACTTAAAAGAATTTATAAATGAACGTATTGGATAGTAGAATGGCAATAAATGTAAATGCAAATGCAAGTGCAACCCGCTTGCATCAAACACTGGGAATGAATAATCCAATTATATAATATATAAGCAAAATATGAAATAAATCAAATAAGCATTCTGTATTAATAAATTTCGTTAATTTTTCTTTTTTTGAAGATAGCGAATAAAAATATGATAAGGAATAAGAAGAAAATAAGAATTAATAAGATACTATATCAGCTAACTAAATATTAAGTTTAATACATTTTTTCAATAAATTATTGTATACTTTTATCAACTCTTAGCAGAGAACAAATAATTATGTAAACAAATTTCTGAGTTTACTTAAAGTTTACCTAAAGGTCAAAGTTGAAAATTCTTAACTTCTTGATCTAACAATCAATGAATATGACATTGTATATGTAAAGGAATTTCTGAAGAATTTAGAGGAAGACTAAAGTTTGTTTACAAATGAGAAATTCTGACTTCATCCATGCGTAGTGTTTCATTAGTGGAGTTGATTGTTTTACCAATGTTGTGCTATTTATTATCGTAAATAACTATTGATGGTAAATAATTTAAAATATAAACAATTTTCTAATGTAACAAAATTGAGAAGGAATTACATAAGAGAAAGAGAATGCATTACTAATAAAGCAAGTGGAACTTGTTGTGCTGTACAATTTAAAGTAAAGATTTAACCTTTAACCATTCAATGGTTTAATTGAAGGATGATTTAAAATAGTGCGAAAATTTCTTTTGAAATGACCAATATTCATTAAGTCCAGCAGTTTGCCTGTTTTACTATTGAGAAAATGTTGCTAGTAAGTTTCAAGATATACTGGTAAATTTTTCTACTTCAATAGCAATGATATGCATTAAATTATTTCCATCATATATCACTAGAAACATAATGTGGGAAATTACTACAATACCGGAATCAGCCAAAAGGTTGGTTAAATGGATTGAAGGATTTTGTGCTCATAATATACCTAACAATTAACATAAGTTGAATTCGGAACAAATTTCCAGTGCGTTTTATCATCGATTTTATTTGCCTAATTAATTAAAATTAATTTAATTAAACTAAAGGGATCGATAAAGTCAATAGGTAATGCAGACCCGAATTTTATGCCAATTTAAACGGCATAATTTTGATCTAGCCTAGAAAACTTTTGGTAACTTACTTTTCATTTCGGAAATTCAAATTTATATACCTTTTTTCTTATATCGCCTTTTTTAATTCCGGTATGACCGTTTCCGGATTTCGTGAAACAACTATACTAATTATTTGACAAAAGTATCTGTAGTTTGATTTCAAAAAAAAGTTGCTATTTTCATATATTGAAATTTGTTCAATATCAATCTTTTTTCATTGTTGAATAATTGTTCGCGATAATTCATATAATTTTATTATTATCCGACTAATTATTTCAGTGATAACTGAAAAGATAACAGTGATAACAATATTGACAACCAATTAATGATATCAAATACAAACAACGAAATAATAATAATTGTTAACTTTAAGCAAACAATAATTAATAAATATTATCTGCACATTACTAAAATTATACCCGTACTAATCAAATAGAATAAATGTTAATTAAATGATATAAAATTGATAACTTTTGATAAATTAGAATCAAATTTATCATTCAGAAAGACAAGCCGATCAATTAGTTCTCGCACTGATATTAGTTTATCATTTTCATAAAAAAGTTAGGATAGGTTATATTCAGAGTTTATCGATAATTTTGATTGTTTCAAAAATAATGAATAAAAAAAGAGTGTTTAACTTAATATCTTTTATTTGATTTAATTTTAATAATCTCAAAACTGAGAATCTTTCATCTATGATATAATAATACTAATGAATTAATGAATTATTAAAATAGCTGTTAATGAAATATTTTCAGCTTCCAACAATTAATAAGTTAATAATTAATGATGAGCAAAGATTTTAAACTAATTTCCAGCCGGTGATAACAACAATTAATGAACGAGAGAACATTCTTAATTTATTTTCAATTAATGATAATTCCATAGCTAATAAATGAGTAAAACTTTTAATTAATTTTCAATTAGCAATAATTGATGATAAATAAATTTTAGCTTATTTTCATTTAGTGATAAAACAAATATGCTAATTGATAACAATAATTCTAATAATATAATATTATCAATTGTAAATTTAAGCAAAATGATTAATGAAATTTTTAATTTTTTTTTTAATCTTTTTGTTTTAAATTAAAATTTAAAAAGAAAGAAAATACACAACGCATTTATTTATCAATTGATATGACTAAATTTATTCAACTCTATTAGTATCCAAATCATGATTAGCTTCTATCGGTGATAATATTGATGGAAAGCAAAGACCTTGCGAACAAGCTGATGCATCTGATGGACAATCACTGCATCGTGGCCTATCACCAACCCATGTAAATGCTGGCATCTAAGCAATTTATCAAAAAGATTATATTATATTTATTATCATTATTTAATTAGCAATTATTTAAATTTTATAAAAATAAAAGACAACTTTTAAAAGTTGTTATATTTTGAAATATCGCAAATCGATATTTTTGTTATTCCCACAAAACTTTAACAAATTTTCTTACCATTAAAATTTGCATAAATAAAAAAGAAAAAAAGGAAAATGAAAAAATAATTGAAACATACAGGTAAGAAACCATTTCTTGTAACGTAAACAATATTTCCTTGAGGATTGTAATGGCATACAAAGATATGTCGATGGCCACGATTTCGTATACCCCAAATATCACGACATTTTGCATATCCGCAACCAATTAAATTTGTTTCAGACCAAACTATCTTGAAATGATAATAATTTTATTGTAATTAATATTGTTATCATAATAAATGTGTTGTGATCTTTGTCTTAATTAAATGATAAATAATAGAATTAATTTTGCAAAATGATTAAAATGATAGTGAAGCAATAAATTATCTTTTCCAAACTTTAAATTATTCAATAATATAATGCAATGATAATTGTTTGTTTATTTTATTAAAATAATTAATTATTATAGTTATAGAAATATAGGCAATGATTTTCTTCTCGTATCACTTTTAAAATATTTATAAATGCTTATATATACATCAATGTAATATAATTGTGATATTCATGATATAAACATAGCTTAAACCTTAATTAGCTTAATTAAAATAATATAGTGTTATAATCAACGATATCATCATACTATGAGCCGTAAATTGTGATTTAGCAAATTCAGCATTAGAATAATATAATGGTGTAATTATAATATTATTATAATGATTTTAGCATAATTATCATCATTAATGATAATAATAGTGATATATTTTTCTCCTAAATTGTAATTTAGTATATTCAGTATTAGAATAATATAATGTGGTGTAATCATGATATTATTATAATATGATTCTAGAATAGTTATCATCATTAATGATAGTGATAGTGATAAAGGTAACAATGTTGAAAAAAAAACGAATATAAACAAGCACCTGGACATAATGTCCGCAACAATGTTTATAAGCATGTTTACAATCACAACGTGAATCATAAACTTCATTAAACCATTGTGATACTGCTTCCGTATAATTAGCATATGGCGCTGCCCAAATATTTTCACCAACATTTATTCGATCTTTACTATGTCTATAATTAAATTGTTAATTAAAAATAATACTTGAAATTTCTAAAATAATTATTTTAATTTTGGTATAATTTTTTTCTACTCTTTTTTTTATGATTTTATTTTGTATAATAAAAGTTTTAAATTTGTTAAAACAATTGCAACTTTCTTTCTTATATTTTATCACTTAATGATTGATAGAAATATTACATTTCTTTTTGATTATTTTATATATTAAACTATTTCGCCAACAATTAATAACTAATATGGTTGCTTAATTGATTAATTAATTAATTAATTAAGCAACCATATTAATTAATTAATTAATTAATCAAGTGGTAGATATTTTATCATTTAATGATTGATAGAAATATTTCATGTTTTTTGATTACTTCAAATATTGAACAATTTTTTTTAACAATTAACAAGTAATACTGTTGTTTAATTAATTAATTAATTAATTAATCAATTAATCAATTAGTAGATATTTTATCATTTAATTATTTTATCATTTAAGTAGATAGCAGATATTTATTAATGATTGATAGAAATATTCCATTTTTTTTAATTACTTTAAATATTGAACAATTTCGTCAACAATTAATAACTAACACGGCTGTTTAATTAATTAATTAATTAATCAATCAATCAAGTGGTAAATATTTTATCACTTAATGATTGATAGAAATATTTCATTTTCTTTTTGTTTTGATTACTTTAAATACTGAACAATTTTATCAACAATTAACAAGTAATACTGCTGTTTAATTAATTAATTAATCAAGTAGTAGATTTTTTTTATATAGACGATATGGTTAGTTTTGTTTTATTTATTGGCAAACTATCAATTTCGATTTGTAAAAATTTCATCAAATAAAATATCAAATGAATAATTTACATCAAAAATCACTATAATCTATTATTAATCATTATAAATAATTATTTGTAGTCAATCATGATTTTGGTTCTTACCGAAAATCGCATTTATTGGCATGTCGTTGAGCGCTCATCTCCAATTCGTCTGACCAATACATTAATCGCATATCGGTTGCTGGTATCTGATAGTGTAAAAATTACAATTATTTTTATTTTCTTTTATATATAGCTGTTGAAATTTTCTCCTCAAAAAAGATAACACACAAATTGTCGTAGAATATTTATTAACATGTAAATATTTACGTGGAATATTTGACGTATGATAGGATACTTACGCCATCTATTTATACAATCTTCTACGTAATTCATATAAACATACTTTATTAAACTACCATTTAAAAAAATGAGAAAAAATTTGTTGCATAATATCATAATGTTGAAATGAAAACATACAATTTTTCGAAGTCGATTATGTTCGTTAGTTATAACATTTTTCATATGTTCATTTAATGGTAGCGAATTAATTAGCATATTTGGAAATGAATTTATTGATGAATGATAATTTCGTGTTAAACGTTTTTCACGTACGCGTATTTGTCGTCCTAAAAAAATAAAGTAAAAAGTTGTTGTAAACAAAAATGATATTTTATAATTAAAATAAACTTTTTTTAAAAGCTATAATTTAATTCTAATTTGATATAATTTAATGTGAATAATTATATGTCTTAAATATTTAAGATATAAAAATTTATACTATAAAATAATGATTAATATAATATATATTATTAATTAATAATTAAAAATAATTGATACTTACCAAGAAAATGATAATTTGGTTCAGCCCTTGCCGAAATTATTCCTTCATTGCTATTAAAATTTCCACTATTTGTTCGTGTAAAATATGAACAGATAAACCAAAAGAACAACAAATATTCCATTTATAATATAATTACTAAAGAAAGAATAATTAAGAATAATTTTAGTTAAATCAATCTAAAATAATTTCGTATTAAAGGTAAAAAATTATTTATATTAAAATTTAGAAATTTAATTAATAATTATAAATAATAATAAATTTTCAATTTTCCATCACAATCATTAAAATATATTTATAATAAATTAATATATTATTAATTAGTAAATTAATTGAATACAATGAAAATGTTTGAAAGCTGCAAAAGCTCTTCACATTTTATTATCGTTAATAATTGAAAGTATCAAATTTGCTATTTGAAATATTTCCATTATTGATGAAATAATTAAAATAATATTTGTATGAATAAAATGAAAGAATTGTTGCCAGCATTTTTTCATGTCTTCCGATATTTCCATTTTTTTTTTCCCCCCCCCCAATTTACTTTTAGAATTTAAATTTATGTGATGCTTAAATTGAGAAATCGGTATAATACCGTATTCTTTTTTTGTGAAAAAAAATTGGAAAGAAGAATATGTGATGCTTAAATTAAGAAGTCTGTATAATACCGTATTCCTTTATGTTATTAACTATAAAAAATACGATTTTTCTTCCGCTGAAAATCGTTTTTGTCAAGTAAATTAGTTACTGTATTACTTCAAATGATTTATTTTAATTATTTTAGTAATTATTTTCATAATTTTTTACTAAAATTTTTGTTTGCCTTTTCTTTTTTACATAAATACTAATTAATTACTTAATTTATATTAATTAATCATTCTTAATTTTTTTCTCATTTTCAAAGAAAGAATAATTAATGAATAATAAATAAACAAAACGGATAATAATCCTAACAAAAATTCGGAATAAATCAAACAAACAAACAAATTTAAATCCTTTAATTTCTTCTCATTATATTATACAATTTAAATTATACGCATAAATAAAATACGTTATAGTAAAAGATATGGTAGCAATCAAAATTTTATCGCATACTTATTAAACCTTACCGTATTTATTTGTATATTTTTCCTCTACTTCTATTTGCTTCATTTTTTATCTTTTCCTTTGGCTATTTTACTTTTGTTTTATTATTATTATTAATTATATTTTTACTTATATAATAAGTTACATTCATATAATGATTCTGATGAATAATATTTGAAATGAACTTCAAAATAATCAGAATAATTAAGATTGAAATAATCGAAATCAAAAAAAACGACGAATCTATTTTCCATTTCTGATTTCTGTTTTTTAAACTTAAACGATTACATCTGATTACAGTAATCTAATCCTTCCTTATCAATCAGTAATCTAATCATTCCTTATCAAACATTTAGTAATATTTAACTTTTCATACTTTCTTTTTTGAAATCTTTTTCGTTACTTAGCAAAAATTTTAAGGAGAAAAATTTTTTTCGTATTCTTTTCATTTAAATTTATTGATAGTTGAAAGGATGGATAGGAAGAAAGAGAAATGATAACTGTGATAAGTTCAATTGATTAAAAAGTAAATTAAGTAAATTAAATAATGATTAGCTAGTAAAAATTGATAATTGTATAATTATAGCAATTAATAATAAGCAGGTAATATACTACGAAACAATAATAATCATAATAATGCTATTGATAATAGCAATGATAATCAGAGGAATAATATCAATTCTGATAAGTTGTAATAATAATATTAATGAAAATGCTATTGATAATAGCAATCGTAATAATAATAATAATAATAATAATAATGCTATTGATAATAGCAACCGTAATAATAATAATAATGCTTTGATAATAGCAATCTCAATCAGAAGAATAATATCAATTCTGATAAGTTGTAGTAGTAGAATAATCACATTAATATTCGTAGTCATTTTAAAATTAATGTTTACGGAATATTATTTGCATTTAATTTTACATATTCCTTTTATCTTATCATAACTTTAATATTTAAAATAAACCTTAAATAGTGATCATAGAAAAAGTTGCATATATCGCCGTTATAGACACCGCCGGAAGTCGTCGTCGTCCTTGTTGTTGTCGTCGTCGTCGTCTTATCGTCTGCTAACAAACTATACCATTTTAAAATTCACTGCAATTTGTCACATTTGATCAAAAAAAGGAAACGAAAGGAACGCCTTTATTTCATTCATTAATTTAATTACGAATTTAAATTTTTGATAAATTAATTCGTTTTTTTGTTTTTATGTTAGAAAAAATTTTTTGAGTAAAATTAAGCTAAAAAAGAAATTTAATTAAAATTAGAAAAAAAAATTTAATCAAAAATTATTAATCTTTTTGTTTGATATAAATTAGCATAATTAAGGATTGAAAATAATAAAAACAAAAAGAATTAATTTTAAAAATTAAAACTTTTCAAATATTAAAAATTCAAATTATTGAAATACTTTTTGAAATTGTAAAACTTTATATGCTTTATTAATGCAAATAATTAATGAAAATGGTTAATATAAATAGTCGAACTAAAATGAAATTTACATTACTTAATCAAATTAATCAAATAGGAATTTCATTTTATCACAATATTATACCATATCATATCATATCAATATCACATTATTTATAACTTCTAATTTTAGGATTATTTCCGAATGTGAAATATCGACGAAGCATTCGAATATTAGAAAGTATTAAAGCTTCTCATCTTACATCCTTTTATTCAATCCTCTTTAAACTTTTATAAAATGTTGTCATTATCACTCATATAGAAAATAAATATTTCATTTATGCTAACAAACAATTTTTATACTTTTTAAATAATAAAAAAATATAAAGAACGAATTGTTTTCCCAATTAATAAAATGTATAAAATAGAAATTTCAAAATTCATTTATGACTTAATTAGCATTATTAATTGAAATTAATTAAATTTAACATTTAAGAATTCGAAAAAGAAAAACATTTTTTTGAAATAATTATTTAATTGTGGAACTAACCAAAGCAATAGGTTCCAAACGTGTCCTCCCTCTAGGATACATGTATGGATCTCGCTTTTTAATGGCACGAGCCGTTAACCAAATCACTAAACCCGAAGTTATATCGACAGCTGAATC